TAATATTCCCCTTTGCTCCTCAACCGACTGCTACATACAAGGTTTTGTATAGAGGTGAAGGGAGGGGAAAAGGAGCTGGACCAGCACACAGTAATTAGACACTCCCAGAAGAGGAGCGGCGTTTGGAATGCAAGGAGGGAGTGGGCTGTGCTAGGAAATTGACTCTTCCTGGGGTGGTCGAATTCCCTTGCAACAGCACATTGCAAGTAAATAAAAATTGGTTTGTAGAAAGAAGAAACACTGCGATGAAGCATTTGCAGTACTTGATTTCTCTGTGCTTTCACCTGTATCTTTTTAAGTTGGTAACAGGATCTCTTTACAGATACAGTTATAGTGCCAAAACCTTTATCTTGCTCAGGTTATTTTTTGCTACCTGTCGCTTCCTGGGGAAATCTCCTTCTACTTCCTGTCCAGAGACACAACAGGAAGCAAGAGGAAATCTTCCCAAAGTGCCCTCCTATACAGTGCTTGGCATAACAGGTCTCCTTTGGAAGTTCAACTCTTGTTATGAGGGTAACTCTAAAATGTTGGTTTCACCCTTACTTTCTGCTTCAGGGATAATGGTCATCAGGACAAATAGAGTGTAAATCTCCCCGGTGGGGGACATAGACAACAACAAAAGCCTGAAAGAGGGTCCAACCCTTCTCCGCTCTTCCCAAAACTAAAAAAAAAATGCTTTTACACTTTAAAGTCAAGATGCTTCCGTAGATCTGTTTTCAACTATGCTTAAGTGAATCAGTAAGACGGGGCACCTGGGCATACAGCAGTTCAATATTTAGATAGTGTAAGTTATTTTTTTATTCCATGTCTTGCAGCGCCCCGGTTAATGTTATAATATAATAATGAATTCAGTGTGGATGACTTTACTTTGAATAATTAGCTGCAGCGTCCAGGCACAGATCGGTGTCTAGAGCTCGATGCTGCTGCTATCATGCTGGATATTTAAATTAAAAGCTTTAAAAATGCTAATTTTCCACTGCTGAGCTCGTAAATTTTAGGAGGATCTCCCGTCAGCACTTCATCATACCCACCAACCTTCTGAGATGAGAAAGAGGGACATCATCCAGCACAATTTATTTAGGCATTGGGCATACCCCTGCCATGACCCTAGTTATGAGGACCATTAAGAATTGATATGCCAAAAATGATTGGTTAAACCCAGAATTGTTTCTTTTCATCATTAAGATTCCTTTATATTGGACAGCCCCACTACGAGTGTCATTTTTTAATCTTCTTGGAGTTCAGCTTTTATTCAAAGAATACCTGGTAAACCTTTCATGAGGCAAATGTTTAGGCACTTCCTGTTATTTGTTGACAACTGAGCTCCTGTCCTGGCATCTGGTTAGATGCGCCCCCCCAACGGAGAATATAAACAACCTTACAACGTTACGGTTGCTGATCTCCTCCAACCTTCTTTCAACTACATTCAGTCGCTTCAATGTCATCTTCTTGTCTTGAATTGTATTGTAATGTGTTCCTTATATTGTAAAGCGTTGCACAAACTATTGGCGCTATATAAATCCTGTATAATAATAATCTGGCCATCAATGGACCAGCTTCCTGAATATGAGGATGGTGCACCATGCCTGTGCAATGTGCATCTCCACAGCTGGTTGAAGTCACCACCAGGGGTGCATATTATAGGTCTGACAGTTGGCACCCTAGAGCAGGAAGTCCTTACACAAGGACTTTTATGTCAGGATTACCAGACAGTATTATAATGAAGTCTGCAGTTTTAAAAGGATTGGGCTCCAGTGCTCCAAGGATGAGCATCACTCAGATGTCATTACAGACTGGGATCACAGTACTCCAAGACTGAGTGGCGCTCATATGTCATTGCAGAATGGGCTCACAGTTCTCCAAGAATGAATGGCGCTCATATGTCATTACAGACTGGGATCACAGTACTCCAAGGATTAGCATCACTCACATGTCATTACAGACTGGGATCACAGTACTCCAAGAATGAATGGTGCTCATATGTCATTACAGACTGGGCTCACATTACTCCAATGCTGAGCATCACTCACATGTCATTACAGACTGGGATCACAGTACTCCAAGGATGAGCATCACTCCCATGTCATTACAGCCTGGGCTCACAGTACTCCAAGACTGAGCATCACTCCCATGTCATTAAAGACTGGGATCACAGTACTCCAAGACTGAGCATCACTCGCATGTCATTACAGGCTGGGATCACAGTACTCTGCCTGGGCTCACAGTACTCCAAGACTGAGCATCACTCACATGTCATTACAGACAGGGCTCACAGTACTCCAGTACTGAGCATCACTCACATGTCATTACAGACTGGGCTCACAGTACTCCAAGACTGAGCATCACTTCCATGTCATTACAGACAGGGCTCACAGTACTCCAGTACTGAGCATCACTCATGTCATTCCATGAGCATTGCTTAGTCCCGTAAGAATAAGCTTGGTGAAGTCACTGAAATAATTGAAAGACGGCAAGAAAAAGGCATGAATATATTGGGTGGGGGGTTTCAGTGGGTGGAAGGAGGTGGGTAGGGTCCAGGATAATGGCATCCCACTTCAACATAATAAAGCATATGTAAGATTTAAGCGATTGCCTTTAGATCAAACTTCCTCCTTACAGACTAACCGCCATTTCTAGGTTTCAGGCCGCTCCTGAGCGCTGATCTTTTAGGTTTTTTCTGAGCCGAATGGGGTTTTCCAGCGGCCATAGCTGATTAGGATTCCTGCTGGTGTTTAGGGCTGCAGTGGGAGGCTGTACGTCTGCTGCCTTCCCGTGGCTGTCGCTGCAGTCGGAGATATATGGGGTGTGCAGGTCGTATTAAAACACGTTTTATGTTCTGCCTGCACGTCACCGGGATGTCTGTGGGGTTTATATATCCGTGCACAGGCTGCGGAGAAACTGCGGGGACAATTTATAAAAACAGAGACTCTGCACTTCTACAGCAAAGGAAAAAAAAAAGAAAAAAAGTATTATTTCCTCAATTCTCCCATCCTACCGCCACACTGCTGCTACTGCTCTGAACGTATTTCAATGGGATTTTTTTCCCCTTCTCCGTTCCAAGACAGAAGGGAACGTTTTTTTACACCGGTACGTCACCAGGAAAGTTCCTGCCGCTTTGGAGAGGATCGAAAACTCCTTCAATGTCTTATTAGTTGCTGAAAGTCGGAGAAGTTGTAGAGAATTTTATTTATTTTTTAAGGGGGCACGTCCGCCTACACGCACATTATATTTACTAGAAAACAGCTTATGATTCCCCTAGGAATTAATACTGCAGTGAATTAAAGTGGTGACTATAGTGCTGTGGAGTAGGGGAAATGGATGATCCCTCCAGTGGTGAAGTTTTAGCATATTTTTAAAGTGTTATGGCTTATACTAATCTTTCAGTGCTTGCCGGCAGTTTGCCTGTTACCATGGCAACACTAGTAGATTATGTTAAGGGACAGTTAGGTATGAAGGATTCTGTCCAGGGGTAGGCAACCTCAGCACTCTAGCCATGCTAAAATCACAAATCCCATCATACTTCTGCCTTTGGGAGTCATACCTGTGGCTGTCAGAGTCTTGCAATGCCTCACGGGACTTGTAGCTCCGCCACAGCTGGAGTGCCGAGGTAGCCTAACCCTGGTTAAGACATTTGTTATCAATGGTGTTTATCCAAATAAATCTGTGGCTTTGACCTTCCAAAGCAAGAAACCTTGGTGTGGTTTTGGGCAAAGGCCTACCATCGGTAGTGGGTTGGTTGATTTTGGCATGCCTATGCTTCAATGACTCATGGGACTTGTGGAGTGCCAAGGTTGCCTACCCCTAAACTAGTCAATAATAACCTTAGAACGTGGCTGGATGGGGCACTAAGCACATTCTAAACGCTCTTAGAGGAAATACAAGGTGGATGGATGTTATTGGCAAGAAAGCAGTGCCCAATTAATATAGAAAGCAGGACTTAAAGCTGAACTCCGACCCTCCCTTCAGCCTTTACAGTTGTACCGGCTCCTCTCCTGGACTGAAATCCTGGACTATGGTTTCACTGCATGCTGTAAGCTTCTCATAATGAGCATTAGAAGCTGCAGCAAGTCATATGCAGCAAGTATCAATTACCTAGTGCGGTTTTCAAGCAAATAGTCTGCCTTGGAACGCCCACTCCTCCAGACTGACATCCACCCAGGCGTTACGACTATGTTGGCTAATCAGGTTACTGGTTTACCCCAGAGTAGGAAACCCTGGCTCTCCTGCTGTGGTGAAACTAAAAATTCCATCATGCCTCTGCCTCTTGGAGTCTTACCTGTGGCTTTTGGAGTCTTGCAATGCCTTATTAAATTTGTAGCTTCCCCAAAGCTAGAGTGCCAAGGCGGCCTACCTCTGGTTTAGACATTTTATTATAAATGGTGTTTATCCAAATAAAGCCGCGGTCTTGACCTTCCAACACAAGTAGCTTTGGTGTCGTTTTGGGCAAGGGCCTACCTTTGGGAGGTGGGTGGTTGATTTTTGCATGCCTGTGCTTCCCAACAATCAAGGAACAGAAATAAACACGTGAGCAAGCTATAACACTTTTTTTGCATGGCTCCTGACTATGGCTATTTGGTTGGGTGGTCTATTCTTACACAAATTTTAAACATAAACTTGGTGTGAAATAACATCGCAGTGGGAGAAAAGTAACAAAATAGCCAAAGGAGGACAAGTACATCTAAAAAACTATAGATACTCATTAAGCTTGCACGGCATTGCCGAGATCTTTCACAAGGTATATTCATAACAAACCTACAGGCTACGCTTTCTTGTCCCAGTTGCCACTAAGCTGTGGCTTTTACTATACTGCATTAAAAAAAGGTGGGCCTAGTAGCAATTTCCTTACTTTGTTACGGCATCAGCCTCCCGAAAGGGATATGGATAAAAGAGTTATCAGAGGCATTCACAAACAACATGTCAAGGGGTCCACATGCCCTAAGAGCTGGAACCAAATTCACATCAATGCAATTGTCGCATTTAGATCGGTTGAGAAACCTTACCTGGGATTTCCAGTGACTTCACACTTCAGGGTGAGCATGTCTCCTTCTCTCACCAGACTTTGGGAGGCTTGAATTCGGGCTGTCGGGGAAACTGTAACAGAAAAGACAGTCATTATGCCAAAAATGAGATGGAGCAGAGAATACCTCCAGCCTTTCTAAGACATGAAG